TCAAATAAACGTGGAGGTCAAATGCAAAAGTTTCCTTTGAGTATTTGTGTCTTCCAATGAGTAACTCTTTTAAATTGGTAGGCTATATATTTAATTAAAATATATAATACTAATTGCTTGATTGGAATGCTCTTTCTATTTTTTTCTCATCCAGGTTTTTCGAGGTCTATTTGACAAAAAAGTGTATCTTCAAAGAGTATAGGTGATGCGTTGGTACAAATATAAATATATGTACAAAAATATACATGTACACATATGTATACATATACATGCATATACATCTAGTGAAAGGATTACCACAATCAAGTGAATTGATATATTTATATCACATGAGATGTTGCTTTTGCAGAGAGTGACTAGACTTTAAAGTCCAACTTCATAACAAATTTCAAGTACGTAAGCCAGTACCTGATCATTATGCCGTGCAGTTCGACTCCAGAACTTTTTCATCTTATAACTGCACATTTATGTCCTTTGAACTTTATGTCATTCTCCCAGATCCCAGCCTTTGGGAACCATCATTCTATTCTCTGTAATTTCTGAGGCTCAAGTCTTCCATAGGGGAAGGTAGACTTTGAGAATCCAAGGATGAAAACCCATTTGAATCAAGTAGAACTGGATTCAATACTGGATTAACTACTTTTATTCACGCAAATGTCTCTACTTCAAGACTTCCCTTGTTCAGTTTAGTAAGGTTATTAGCATACTTGGACAGTGATGACTTTCTAAATGGGGATATTTTTGTTATCTTGACTGAGGTTTATCACGAAACAGCAGTTTAGGGAGAAGATAACTCGTCTTTTCTGTTCAATGTTCAGGAGTAGGGAAAGTCCTATTTTGATGTAATGAATAGTTAGAATCTTACAAGGTACAAAAATGACCGTAGTATGTAGGTAGAAGACTGAAATGGATGTATTTTAACTAGTAAGGTAAGATGTGGTGAGACTGTTGATTCCCCAACCTAGGTTTTGTCAGTCTTCTTTTTATTACGTTGGGTTCATGAAGCTGCATATTATATAAGGGTGAGCAGAAGCCAAAAAAATTATAGCCTCCCCAGGCGTGGTGGCGCACAACTTTAATCCCAGCACTCGGGAAGCAGAGGCAGGTGGATGTCTGTGAGTTCAAGGCCAGCCTGGTCTACATAGTGAATTCCACGACAGCTGGGTCTACAGAGACGAGCTGTCTCAAAAAGACCAAAAAAAAAAAAAAAAAAAGATAGCCTCAGGCAGAGGCTGGAAGAATTTCTCCAAAGTCACTGAGGGGTACATACTACCAGCATATAGGTTTTAACTCAGTAAAATTTGATTTTGGACTTCTGACCTTCATATTGTAAGAAAATAGATTTCTGTTATTTTAACTTGGTGGCAATTTTTTAAAACAGTCAAAAGAAACTAATAAAATCACTGTTCAGATTCACATTAGTTCACTTCATCTACACTTTTCAGTAATGTTCAAACTCTGTATTTTCTTGTCATGCTTCTCCCTCTTGCCTCTGACACTTTGTAGCTACTTAATTGTTGGCAAGTCATTTTCTTTAAAATGAGACTAATGTTACCTATCTGTGTGATTATTATAAGAGCTGAATATTTGTAAGTACTATAAAACAGCTTCTAACATTCACAAGCGTGATGTAAGTGGTATTAAAAACATTTCTCAGAAAAGTTGGTAAGATTTTGGAGTCCAAAAAAATGCAGGGTAGTCATTAATAAAAGTTTCTAGGAGAAAGAATTATTTGGAAATAAAAGGCAAAATCCTTTTTGTGTTGTATGCTTAAACATTATTAGAAAGTACTTACTATCACCATGAGCTTAAATTTGTTTACATTTTTATTGATACATTCTTACTTAAGAACTATATATTTCCATGATATGGACTGAAAATAAAGCATGCCATCAATATTATTTTGATCTAAAGTCTGATGAAAAACCACCACAAACCAATCAATATGGAGAGATTGATAGTTTTAATAAAACATAATAAAATATTCATTGAGAAAAGAATATTTAGATTCCATTGGTTTGTTCACCAGTATCTGAAAAAGAAAGATAACACATTAGTTTTATATAACAAATTATCAAATGTCTTGTACGTAAAGCAAATTTTTCTTGACTTAGGATTCTGTTATTGTAAAGGAGTATACAGCATAGACATTGAACTTCCATTTCACAATAAAATTTTAAAAGAAACAATGTTTTTTCTGTCTTTGTATATTCTTGCAATTATATCTTTTATAGGAATTAATAATATGGCCTCCTAACAGTTCAATTTATTTTTATTTTTTATATTTTTATTAATTCTTTGAGATTTCACACAATGCATTTTAATCATGTTCTCTCCTCCCCCAACTACTCCACCTAACTTTGTGTCCTTGTTTTAAAATACTCATTGAGCCCCATTTGTGTTGCTCACATCATACTCAGATGTGTGGCCATTTTGTGGAGTGTGTTGAACCTAGCAGGGGCCACACTCTTTGCAATATCATTATGTATCTGAATGCATATAGCTGTATTACAAGGCATGTGTTCAAATGGTATTTATTTGAGGTCAAATGTTTTGTGATATTGAATAATTTTAAGGAGACTTCTTTTCCATTTTAATAGGGAGACTTTTCCAAAAAAGTAGCATTTTTCTGGTTCACCTATGTTAGATAAACAATTTACATATAAGAAACTAGATGCATATGCCTTTTGAGAATATGAAACTATTAACTGTATCTTTAACTTATTCACTAATAGGTCTTTCATCTTAAATACTCGTAAAATAATCCAAAAGTAAAACACTATAGCTGTGGTCAGGGTTTAAGTACAAATTGAAACCCATTAATGTCATTGGTAATGCCTGTTGTTATAGGACTAACTGCCATCACATTTGTTTTTAATATGACTTTAGTCACTGATGTTGTCTCAGTAGAAATTTTGACTTGACTGACAGTGCTTTCCCATTTTCCCTCCAGTGAATGTTTATCATAGCTTCAGGAGATGATGGAGAAGTGAGGACTTGGCAATAGGGTAACCATTTTATTTACTTATTATTTTTCTTATTTCTTGAGCAGATGAGAAAGTTGGGATGAGTCCTATTGACCATTTTGGCCTGCACCATTCTTGTTAGGACACTGTGTGTTGGGAAGTAGGGTGAGAAAAAGAGGTAGGGATGGGATTTGGGAGACTCAGGTACAAGGTGTTTCCTAACACAGTGGTTCTCAGGATGGGTAAGAAGGATGGCTGAATAGGTTGCACACAAAATATAGTTTAATCACCTTTCTATTTATGGAAGTTTACTCTTAAATTGAGAACTATAATTATAGGAGAGTCGTCATAATCAATTTGAATAAATTTAAAGAAGACTTTCCAGTTTCAAAATTGCCTGATTCCTGTACATAGGGCAAGAGTTAGTCATCTCATAACTTCTGGGGGTACATATGACCAGCACTCCACACCATGTGGTCTCATTTTCATGTAATAAAACACATATTTCAAGGTGATTTTAGATGATGAGACATGCTCTACTTAATCTGATTTCCAATTCTCATTGTTATGTGTGATTTACAGAACAAATTCATAGCATTCTCTTCTCCAGAAAATTTCAGTCCTCTACCTAAAAAGAAAAAAAAAAAACCCAGACT